AAATATCTATGCTCCTAATGAAAGAGCCTCAAAATATATCATTTGAACTCTAGTAGAACTGAAGAAAGAAATAGACAAATCTATAATAATAGTTGTTGTTGTTGTTGTTTAGTGCCGTCGAGTCGGTTCCGACCCATAGCGACCCTGTACAAAGATTTTAATACACCACTTTAAATAAAGGACTGAGAACAAATGGTGCTTGAAACATTGGAAATCCATCTGCAGAAGAATGAAAAAAGACCCATATCTCATACCATATAAGAAACTCAATGTGGATTAAAGACCTAAATGTAAAATTAGAACTGTAAAGATCATCAATGAAAAAATAGGAACATATTTAGGGGCTGTAATACATGGCATAAATACACTATCAAACATAAATAAAAAGATAGAAACAGTAGAAGACAAAACAGAAGACTTGGACTTCCTAAAGTTTGAACTTTACAGTGTACAATGGTTCCTCATGCCCCCCAAATATACAGGATTCAAACTCCCTGGCCACTCCTCAGAAACCCTATTGGTTTCTATGGGTCACTATGACTCAGCCCCAACTCTATGACACCTAATAACTAACAATCTAATCAGAGAGATGTTATAATAACTCTAGTGGCAGTGTTGTTGTTGTTGTTTGGTGCTGTCAAGTCAGTTCCCACTTATGCACCATAGAAACACTACACAGTTCTACGTAATTCACACAAGTGTCACATTTGAGCCCATTGTTAACTGCCACCATAATTCAAATGCATAGATCCTTCTAAGATCAGGTTGTTGTTGTTAAGTGCCCTATGCACCACAGAATGAAACATTGCCCGACCCTGCACTATCTTCATAATTTTTGTTACGCTTGAGCCCATCATTGCTACCGCTGTATCAATCTATCTCTTTGGGAGTCTTCCTCTTTCTCTCTGACTGTCTACTTTTCCAAGTACGATGTCTTTCTCCAGAGACTGGTCTTTCCTAACAACATGTCCAAAATATGAGAGAAAAAGTATCACCATCCTTGATTCTAAAGAGCATTCTAGCTGCACTTGTTTCAAGATAGATTTGTTTGTTCTTCTGACAATCCGTAGCACTTCAAATATTTTTTGCCAATGCCATAACTCAAATACATAGATCCTTCTTCGGTCAGACTGTTGTTACATGCCATCAAGTCAGTTCCAACTCATAGTGACCCCCCCTGTAGTTCCAGCTCATAGTGACCCCATGTAGGGTTTCAAGGTGCAGTTGGTGGGTTTGACCTTGTGGTTCACAGTCCAGTCTATCACAGGTGCCACACCAGGAGACTAGCCCCTGTTGATTTTTTGGAGTAGTGAGGAACCATTGTAAATTGTAAAAGTTCAAACTCTATATTAAAAACATAAAAGGTCATTTACAGTTTTATTGCAAGTTTCCTTCAAGTTTCATCTGCTCTTTTTTACCACATACTCTAAATATATATCAATCATGTCAAACTTCTGACCATTTAACCACATATTACTATTATATATTAAGATTTTTCCTAAATCAGTGACTTGGTAGATGCTAACCTCTTTGTTCATTATACTTTAATGTAAAATGGGAAAAAAAAAGTCAACTCATCTTTTATGGTCCACTTCAGGCACCATTATTATTTCTTGTTTGGGTTCTCATAGGATTACAGTTATAAAATATAATCATAAAGATTCTTATATCTTATCCACTTCTAGGACTTTCTTGAAGAGAATATTTACTACTAAGAACTATTTTATATTTATACTCTGGAGTTATTTCCAACTGGGAATGTAGAGATTCTCTTACTTCTTAAGACCAATGTATGACTAGATCCTCTTTTCTTCCTTTAGCAATTTCTGCTTCAAACCATAAAGCCCAGAGAGAACTCATACTGTCAGTTGTAAAAAGATAACCTTCTCCTATGAGAGACTCCTCTCTCTGTTTTAGTTAACATGTCCCTATGTAAACTGAGGCAGTGCTCCTGTACGAAGATGACTGTGTTTAAAGCATCCATAAATGTTTCTTCCAGCTCATCATTCTTTTGGTATGGGGAAGTGGTAATTATTGCCAAAGGATTGACAGTCTTATCTTCATTGTGGGATCCAAATCCAAAGTCCCTGAGAAGAGAAAAGCTTCCCACTGCTGCGTATTTAAATTTGTGGTTTTTTTTTGTTGTTTTTTCTTAACTCACAGGGTTTGTTGTTTCCTAGTAAATTCCAAAACTTCTTCTTGGTCTCTTTCTACATTATGTCATTGTTTTGATTCTGATTCCTTTTTGACTCTAAATAAAATCTCAAGATTTCTACCATTTCTATTTACATGCTTCACTTTCAAGACATCTGAGTTCCTGCAGTGAATTGAATGGTCCCTCAAAGGATATGCTCACATCCTAATACCAAGAACCTGTGCATATGAACTTACATGAAAAAAGAGCTTTGTAGATGTTATTAAATTAAGAGATCATGCATCATCCAGGTAGGCTGTAAATCAAACAATAAGTGTCTTTGGAAGAGATACACAGAGGAGAAACACACAGATCAAAGCCATGTAAACCAAGAGGCTTGTGGATTTATACAGCCACAAGCCAAGGGACATCTGTTGTTTGTTGTTAAGCGCTGTTAAGCAGGTCCTGACTCATAGAGAGTCTGTATCGGGTTTCCTAGGAGCAGTTGATGAGCTTGAATTGCTGAACTTGCATTCAAACTGACCTTGCTGTCCAGCACATTATCCCACAGCACCACAGCAGGACATATGTAGCCACTAAAAACTGGAAAAGGCAAAGCAGAATTTCCTCTAGCATTCAAAGGGAGCATGACCCTCTGACACCTTGTTTCCATCTGTGGCCTTCAGAGTTGTAAGATAATAAATTTTTGTTGTATTAAGTCATCAGGCTTGAAGTAATTGTTATAGTGACTCTGGGAAACTAATTCCTTCCCCCAAAGATTGTTGTTAAGTGCCGTCCTGTCAGCTCTGACACATAGCTACCTTGTGTAGGGTTTCCCAGGATTGGCTGGTGGATTTAAACCACCGACCTTGTGGTTCAAACTGACCTTGAAGTCCAGTGCATTGTCTTGCAGTACCACATAAAGGCAACATTTAAAAATAACAACAAAACCTTAAATGTTTACATTCATGGAAAGGCACAATGGCAAACTACCATTTATATTGTTCTAAATGCATTGTCCTGGTGTGGTGCTGAGGGTTAATGCACTAGATTGCAAGGTCGGTTTGAACTGCAAGGTCGATGGTTCAAACTCACCAACTGCTCCTTGGAAACCTTCTACAAGGTCACTATGCATCAGAGCTGACTCGATGGCACTTAACAACAGCAACAACGAATGCATTGTCCATGCTAACACATACATTCATTTATCATTCTTCATATATTTATTAGAAGCCACTGTTTTCCAGGTAAAGGAGTCCTGGTTGTACAGTGGTTAACTGTTTAGTTGTTAACTGAAAAGCTCAGCCATTCAAACCCACCAGCTGCTTTGTAAGAGAAAGGTGTAGCAGTCTGCTTCTATAAAGTTTATGGAACTCTATAGAGTAGTTCCACTCTTTTCTAGAAATTTGTTATGAATTGGAATTGACTCATGGGAAATGGGGTTGGGGTTTGAGTACTTTCTGGGGACATATTGGTGAACAGCAGACAAGTATTTGCCTATCATCTCTCTGTACTTGTGATACATTGTTGTTGTTGTTATGTGCCGTCGAGTCGGTTCCTTCTCTTAGTGACCCTGTACAGGGTTTCCAAGGCTGTAAATCTTTATGGGAGCAGCAATCCTCATCTTTCTCCTGTGGAGTGGCTGGTAGTTTTGAACTGCTGACCTTAAGGTTCGCAGTCCGATTCGTAATCACTAGGCTACCAGAGCTCCTTTGTGATACATTAGTAAGTTACAAAAAAAAAAGTTTCTTATTTTCATGGACCTTGCAACACCTTTTAATAGGACTTTCTGAGATGGTAAAATTGTTCCATATCTGCACGGTTCCGTAGCCACAAACACTTGAAATGTGGCTACTGTAACTGAGGAACTGAACTTTTAATTTTATTAAATTGAAAACATGAGGTTAATGCCTATCAAGTAGAATGGTATAGTTCTTAAAAAGATACAGTCCTCCCTCAAGTTCCATAAGACCAACTCAGACAATTAAAGAGATAATTATAACAGCTGCAATAAGTGTGACCAAAATTCTTTGGGACTTCTACACAAGTATCAAGTGTTTTATTTTAAGAAAGCCTCCCTAAAAAAAGTGATATCAGATGTATAACATTTTTTTCTAATTATATTAACAGCTTTTTAAAATTTCTGATATTTGGAAAAATAACATAGGAAGCTAGATTTTAAAACCAAACCAAACAACAAACCACTACCATGGAATTCATTCCAACTCATAGTAATCCTACAGGGTTTCCAAGACTATACATTTTTATGGAAGCAAAATGCCTCATCTTTTTTTATGCGAAGCAGCTGGTGGGTTTGAACAGCCAATTTTGCAGTTAACAGCCCACATTAATCCACAGTATCACCTGTGGAGAAGGTAGATAAATGATGTACACATGATAATTTACAACAAGAATTACCTGCATGGTAACAGACAAATATGTATTTTTCATCTTCCACTGTAAAGTAATAGACCAGCTAACAACATATTACGAGTCATTTCACATTTATTAAAATGTGTATACCCTAATGTGTGTGCCCTAATGTGTATGCTCTAATGTGTATGCCCTAATGGGTTCCATTGCTGCATGCTTACACACACACTACCATTCCTAATACTGGAAATGACAAATGGAACATTCTAATTTCCTTCCTATATGTTAGTTTTAAAACATGGGATTCAATTATAAAAAGCAAATTATTCCTCCCTGAACAATATCAGTATTAGTAAAATCTTTCCTTCCAAGCCTTGGCCACCTGGATTAGAAAGCAATTTTAAAAAGATTATTAAATCACCTTTTGAGTCAAGTCACAAGGGGGCAGCATTTGCAAACACAGACTCCTCTTTTAAGGTAAGTGGGTAAAATCATGATCAGCCTGATTGGCTGTCTCAAATCGTTGCCACCCTTCCTTTTTCTTTACAAAACTCGTGGTAGATCCCAGCTACTTCTTTGGGCTGTGAAGTAGCTTGTACAAGGAAAATCCATTTAGGAGCACGGAGATTCGGCAACACTTTCTAAAGAGAAAGGAGAGGGAGATGCTACTTATAGTACCAGTGTTGATCATATGGGTGCAATTGTCACGTGAGTTTGAGACTTTCCTCACTGCTTCCAGAGAAGCCAACAGAGTAAAAAATTATCTGAATGTAGGGAGTGAGAGTTTCTACTTAAGAGTTAAGAATTTAAAACATAAAGGAAGGAAAAATTGAAAGGAGGAAGATGGGGTGGGGGTAGGGAGACATGGGAAGGAAGAAGAAAAGAGACAAGAAAAGTGAGACCATTATAGCTCAAAGAATAAAGATCTAATCAGGCTGTCTCAGATGTTTCTTCTTATCTTTCTGAACAGAGGTGAATGGACAACAGATAAATCAAATTCCTGAGTTCCTGTTCATACATGAAGGAGAGAAATTCTTCATCTACTGCAATTCCTCAAGTACTTTTAATAGCTTACAATGGTATAAGCAGAAGCCTGGAGGAAGCCCTGTCTTGTTGATAATGCTGCTTAAGGCTGGAGAAGTCAAGGAGCAGAACAGTCTGACAGCTCAGTTTGGAAAGACAAGAAAGGACAGTTCTTTGCACATCAAAGACGCCCACCCTGCAGATACGGGCACGTACTTCTGCGCGATGGCACAGTGCTCTCAGAACACCTGCTGCCTATCTCCAAACCTTGCTGTGGAGCTCCCAGAGCAGCTTCTTCTTATTTTTTCTCAGAGATGGAGTCAGAGAAAGCTGAATTCACAATGGTTGACTATTCCCCCATTATTAGTTTCTATCTAGTTGGCAACAAAGGAGCTCTGCTAGTGTAATGGTTATGAGTTGGGCTGCCAACCTCAAGGTCAGCTAGTTTGAAACTACCAGTAGTTCCATGGGAGAAAGATGAAGCTTTCTGCTCCTTTAAAGATTTATAGCCTCAGAAACCCTATACAGGGTCTCTATGTGTCAGAACTGACTCCATGGCACACTACCAGCACCACCATCAGTTGACACCCACTCATTGCAACCTATGAATAACAGAATGAAACACTGCCTGGTCCTTTGCCATTCATAAAATTGTTACATTTAAGCCCATTGCTGGTGCCACTGTGCAATCCATCTTACTGGAGGTTCTTCCTCTTTTTTTTTGCTGACCTTACACTTTACCAAGCATGATGCCCTTCTCCAGGGATTGATCTCTTCTGATGACATTTCTGAAGTATGAGACAAAGTCTCACCATCCTGGCTTCGAAGAAGCATTCTGGCTGTACTTCTTCCAAAACAAATTGGTTTGTTCTTATGGCAGTCCATTGCACTTTCAATATTCTTCTCCAGAACCATAATTCAAATGTACTGATTCTTTTAAAGTCTAGCTTATTCATTGTCCAATTTTCATATGCATACAGGGCCATAAATACCATAGCTTGGGTCAAGTGCACCTTAGTCCTCAAACTGAAATCTTTGCTCTTGAACACTTTAAAGAGATCTGTGCAGCACATTTGCTTAATTGCATATGTCGTTTTATTTCTTGTCAGCTGCTTCCATGAGAGTTGATAGTGGATCATATCAAAATGAAGTCATTGATAATTTCAATCTTTTCTCCATTTATCATTATATTATTTATTGGTTCAGTGGTGAAGAGTTTTGTTTTCTTTACATTGAGGTACAACCCATACTGAAGGTTGTGGTCTTTGATCTGCATCAGTAAATATTTTAAATACTCTTCACTTTCAGGAAGCAAGGTTGTAGAATCTGCTTATCGAAGGTTGTTAATGAGTTTTCCTCTGATCCTGATGTTTCATTCTTCCTCATATAATCCAGTTTCTCAGATTATTTGCTCAACATACAGATTGAATAAGTATGATGAAACTATATTACTCTGGAATATACATTTACTGTTTTAAAACCATTAGCATTTCCTTGTTCTGATTGAATGACTACCTCTTGGTCTATGTACAGGTTCCTTATGAGCACACTTAAGTGTTCTGGAATACCCATTCTTCACAATGTTATTCATAGCTTGTCATGATCCACACAGTCAAAAGCCTTTGCATAGTCAATAAAGCACAAGTAGACAACTTTCTGGTATTCTTTGCTTTCAGTCAAGATCCATCTGATGTCAGCAATGATATATCTAGTTCCATATCTTCTGAATTCAGCTTGAATTTCAGGCAGTTCCCTGTCCATGTAATGTTGTAACCGTTTTTTAATCATCTTAAGCAAAATTTTACTTGTCCGTAATACTGATGATATAAATCAACGATTTCTGTATTCTGTTGGGTCATCTTTCTTTGGAATGGAGACAAATATGGACTCTCCTATTTAGATAGCCACATGTCCTCCAAATTTCCTGGCATAGATGAGTGTGTATCTCCAGTGCTGCATCACTTTGTTGAAATATTTCAATTTGTATTGCATCAATTCTTGGAGCCTTGTTGTTGTTGTTTTTTTAGCAGTGCTTTCAATGCAGCTTGCACTTGTTTTTCAGTACCACCAGTTCTTGATTATATGCTGTTTCTTGAAATGGTTGAACATCAGCCCTTTCTTTTTGGTGCAGTGAGTCTGTATTCTTTCCATGTTCTTTTGATGCTTTCTGTTTCATTTAATATTTTGCCCATGGAATCCTTCAATACTGCCAGTTAAGGTTTCAGTTTTCAATTAAGTTCTTTCAGCTAGAGAAATGTTAAGCATGTTCTTCCCTTTCATCTAGTCTGTGAAAGATGGAAGAGGTTACAGTTTTATTTCCTAAAACTCAATTATTATTTGTGTGTGTGTTTGTGTTATTGATTTTTGTTTTTTTTTTTTTAGGAAAAAACACAGATGGGGAATTCCAATTATTCCTGGAATGATCAGTTGAAAAACAGTGATACAGATAGTTGTATAAAGGATTTGAGTTTATCTTTCAATGATTTTAACCAAAATTTTAAAAATGTTTTAGCTTAACTGTACTGTGGAAAATTTGAAAATTAAATATCTTTTATACCATACTTAAAATTTAAAAAAAAATGTTACTATTATCTCCAAGAAAAATGATCTGTACTATGTGTCATTTGCTTCAATACAGCATCACAGGAACATGATTACTTTCAGAGAACTTAGTGACCAGAGCTCTTTTCTAGATCAGGAACTCAAAAGAGACTGGAAGATGATCCATGAAGAGTACTTATGTATGGTCTCTGCTTCTCTGTCAACTGCAATTAGGTTCCCTATCTCTTTCATTCAAAGCTTGTCAACTGCAAGCTTGGATGAAAGTGCTGATCCAACTGGTGGACACATACATTTTTCTGTTCATTGGAAAGAGATATTTAGCCATGTATTTCCAGATTCCAAAATGTGTTCACGGATTTGACCAATTATTTTATATTTTGAAACTTATAAAACATTTTATCATTAGAAATAGGGGATAATTACAATTGTATTATAGGAGTCAAATGTTAAAACAGGTGAAATACTCTAAGGATGAAAGGACAAATGTTTTTGTAACTGTTTCATAAAACATTTTGCAGTCATAGAGATTGTTATGGTGAAAATGTTATAACAACATAAGAATTCATTTAACTTATCAATGAATGTGCAGTATTATTCCATTTGTAAAATCATTAACATGACCTGGGTTAATGTGCCAGACTGCAAAGCCATTTGAACTGCAAGGTCAGCAGTTCAAGCTCACCAGCTGCTCCTCGAAAACCCTGTAAAGGGTTGCTATGGGTAGGAATCGACTCGATGTCACTTAACAACAACAACAACATTATATAAAACAGCTGAACAGAAGATTTCAAAGGGCAGCTCCAGAAGACAAGTTAAATATTATAATGAAATGTGCAAAGATCTGGAGTTAGAAAACCAAAATGCAAGAACATGCTCAGAATTTCTCAAGCTGAAATAACTAAAGAAAAAAAATTAAGCTTCAACTTGAAATATTGAAGGATTCTATGGGCAAAATATTGCATGATGAAGAAAGCATCAAAAGAAGATGGAAGCAATGCACAGACTCATGTACTAAAAGAAATGGTTGCTATTCGACCATTTCAAAAGTTAACATTTTATCAAAAGCCAATGATACTAAAGGAAGAAGCCCAAGTGGCTCTGAAGGCATTTGTAAAGAACAAAGCTCTGGAAACTGATGGAATACAAACTGAATTCTTTCAGTAAATTAAGGCAGCACTGGAGGCAATCACTCATCTATGCCAAGAAATTTGGAAGACAGCGACCTGGCCAACTGATTGGAAGAGATTCCAAAGGGGGGTGACCTAATGGAATGTGGAAATCATCAGACAATATCATTAATATCACATGCAAGTAAATTTTTCTTAACATAATTAAAAAATGGCTGCAGCTGTAAAATCACAGGGAGCTGCCAGCTCTGATATGGAATGAGGGATATCACTGCTGATGTCTGATGGATCTTGACTGAAAGCAGAAAATACCAGAAAGATGTTTCCCTTGTTTTACTGACGATGAAAAGGTTTATGATTGCATGAATCATAACAAGCTATGAACAACATTGTGGAGGATGAGTATTCTGGAACATTTATTTGTGCTTATGAAGAACTTGTACATAAT